AGCATCCCCTTAAAAAGAATTTGGATTCTCAACTGTGCCAGAGAGAATGGGATGAGTAAGGAACGAAATCAAATAGTAAAACAACATAATTTCTTAAACAAGGATATTATTTATAGCAAGGAACATTCCGGGATTGTTTGTACTGTGCGACGTAATTTTTCTTCTTTATTTACGTTGCACAAAATTTCTCACGATTGGAATATTACAGCGGTAATGTTTCCAACCTTTTAAATAAAAGGTTTAAGAAATCCGTTCAGCGAAGGATTAGTCTCTACTTAATTTGACGATGAGGTAAATTTATGGATACACAAATTGATCGACATAATTTACAATATCGCGCTGTAATGAAGCCACGGCGCCAACACCCTTGCACGATGTCACTCATTTGTGTGATCTTCGATGGCTTTTAGATCCCATAGGCGGCGGAGTACTGGCTATACCACGGGAACCGGATGCTGGTGCGCCCGGCGAGATGGGCAGGCCCGTGATATTGCCGACCAACATGTCCGCGCAGACGAAGAAGCTGGTGGACGATGGCTGGCTCAATAACGCGTTTAATCAGTATGTCAGCGATCTAATCTCCGTGCACAGATCCCTGCCCGATCCGCGCGATCAGTGGTGAGTCACACTCATATAATCCTAGCTTGCACCGGTCCGTCCAAGTTAACGGTACACTCGCTGCTGTTCGATATTAATTTCTTTCCTTTATTTCCCTTCGGAAGGATAATAGCTTGTCGCTGTAATAACCGGGGTTTTATCGCCAGCTGTTCTGGAAGGGACACATGCGATTTATTACGCTCAGAGACGCGATCGGTGGCTCGTTTATCAGCGTGATATTTGCCATCCGAGAAAACGAGAAATGTACGCAAAGCGAACGTGAAAAAAAAAGAAAAGGAATACGGACATTTAAACGTAATGGAACATCTCTGGAGGGTATGTTATATCCGGTGTAAAAGGGGGTATGGAGACACGCCGTAGTAACAGCGTGCAGCGCATTCGCCGATCGAGACAGATAGGCCGCGGTAATGCGTCGGAGAATCGTGGCCGTAAATGTCCCGTGCCATTTTCCTTTACGGCGAGGGTCGCATCATAACGCGGTGATCGTTGATAAAACACCGCGGGTCGAAGGTCGCCGTGTCGCGACCCAGCGCTATCCCGATCCGATCCTCCCATTCTTTCCTCTCGCACGCGAGGGAAGATCATCTCGGCGGAATAAAGCATCTCCGATGCACACGGAAACGAATCGCGAGAGAGATGGTAACCGATACGAGTGGCTTCGAATTAACAGTCTCTCTTGCGAGTGCGTGTGCCGACGAAAAATCCAGACGCGACGTGGGATGCGCTCACGAAATAGCAGCTGCATCGTAAATTAAATCGCGGTGTCGTAAAATATCAGCTTCTTTTTTAATAGCCGGACCTGTTTCTTGCATTCGTAACTTGTTGACGGCTGCTATAAATAACGTGACCAGACGTCCTCCTCTTTTTCAGAAGGACAATCGTGCCCGATAAATATCCTTGTTAAAAATATCCCACTCCTTCGCAAGATATATCGTTTATCCCAGCTCGTCGAACGAAATGCGAAACCTCGATTCTACTTGTCTCGTGTAACAAGTACACCATTTATTTAGCGTAATTGCGCAAAGACGGGAAGAGCTGCGAAATTGCGTTCATTTCCGTAGCCGCGGGTGCGCTGCGGACGAGACATCGAATGTGCGCGCCTGTTAATAAAGTTTCTGTTAAATGTCGATATCATATGTACGCGATCGGAAATTACTTTTCTTTAGTCTCGCATTCCATCGTACCAAAGTGCAATTTATTCAGGCACAACGCGCACGATCACGAAGGATATTAAAAAGCGCTTTTGCGGAGAACGTTTTATCCGGGGCAACCGCGCCGCGGGGTGGGCGCTCTCTCGCTCTGAGTGAAATACGCAACGCAACGGTGTTGCGAGGAGCATTTCTCGAGTAATATTATAACGCAATGCCTCATGTAATTTGCATTCGCGCCATTATTTTAATTACGGCACTAAGTTAAACGCGCTGCTATTATATGTAAACATCTCCCTTGAACGAAGAAGAACAACCCCGCTAATGTATACGTACGTGTACGCTATATATGCGTCCAGGCTATGCTAATGACCCTCTATTCCGAATTCTTGTTAACATTGCAAATTATTTTCCGTCTACGTCGCAAATACAATTTCACGGGGGGTCCGCTCGCCGGCGCCAAGCACTACGGTACGTGTTACGTGTTGTTTAATTAATTGCGCTGTGCCTAATTTGTTGCGCGAGTTGACCGTAATAGTCTACGGCGAAAAGAGCGCGCGGCCGGCGTAGTTCGGAAATTTAATCATCGGAAAATGCGTTACCGGAAATTAATACATTGCACCGTTCTTACGTCACGCGGGAATTCCGAAATTTCCCGCTGGGAAGTTTCCAATTTGACTATTTTGTTAAAACAGGACGGTCTTCTTTCGTTCTCAATCACATTAAATGTTTCCCTCTCGCGGGCCGATATGTCGGTGGACTTTAAATGAGCGCTGTTTGAATTTAATATCGAATCGTAATACGAATACGACAACGTTTATTGCCGGCTGTTGGTGAAATTCTACACACATCGCCGGAGATATTTAAGTACAGTCTTATTCATTAACGCATGGACCTCAGTTTTATTAGGATTCACATTTTCATGGTCTTTATTCGCATCTGTACGTCGATGAGTTCCAGGCTGTAGCACACGCAGCTTCTATAGAATTCTGTATACAGAGAAAAAGTTTTCTTCCCATTTAGTATTCCTATTTATTTGATCGAGATTTGTTTCATTGGAACAACATCTGCTTATACAAAACATTATTCGTTTGAATAAAAATTTACTTGTTTCATTCAAACAATCTCTATTATTCGATAGAAAAGATACCATTATTTCAAGTAATACCTTCCAGTTAAATAATTATATTAGGTTGTTGCACATGAAATGGCAGATTGCTAACATTGGGAATGTTTTAACACGTAAAGGCGGACAGAACGAGACCGTCATATGTCGAATTGTCATATGTCGAATTAAAAGTGACAATCCTGATCTTTAAAACCTATATTTCCTTTTTTGACACTGAGAGAAAAGTCTTTGAAAATCTATTTCTGGTTTATTTCACTGAAATAAACATTATGTGCCACAAATAAATTTTTTAATACTTCTTTCTCAGTGTATTGATCACTGTCAACGTTTTTGTGACCGGCCAACGTGAAATAATGCATAAGAGCCAAACACGTCATTTCTTTTTACGAGTTTAAACGTGGACATAATGCAGCATAAGCAACCGGAAACGTCAACGCGGCATTTGGAGAAAGCACAACTAGCGAACGAACAAGTAGGGGTTGGTTTGAAAAATTTCGTCCAGGAGATGTAAGCCTTGAAAATGAGCCTCGTGGTCAACGACGAGCTAAGGTGGAATCCGATGGACGTGAAACTATTAGAGATATTGCGGAACAACTAGGCGTTCACTATTCAACAGTTACCCGGCACTTGAAAGCAATTGGTGAAAGTTTCATTTAAAAAACGGCCATTTCATATGCAACAACCTAATATTATTTGGCCAGGCGCCAATAAAGCTCGGTGCTGCCACTAGATGGCCGCCGAACTCGTAAGTAAAACTGTGTACTAATTCAGTGTTTATCTTCTTTCTTCTAACGAAGGGAAAATTATAATGTGGGGGGAAAAAGATGTTTGTATGTACATTTTTTCATATACTTTCTATCAAACGATAATGTTGCTTGAATAAAACAGTAATATCATATAGATCACAGAGAATATA